ATCCCTATTACCGAGTGAAATATTTTTGTCAAATTTGTTCTGGTTAGTCATTCATGAGAAAAAGGGCTCCGTGGTAATTAAATATTAGCACCGTTTGACATTCTGCAAGATTAATTCAGTGAAGCTATTTCAATTAAACACGAGTCACTGACGTTCATGATTTTTCCTACATTTGCTACAGTCTTTATTATTATCAGAAAAAAATTACCCATGATTAAAAATGTATCAGCTTCTGCCTTCATGTAACTTAAACAGACTAACGTTTGATATGTAGATATGTTCTGTGTTTAAAATATGAGTTAAGATTGCACAGTGGGTCCCACTCTTCAGGTTGGAGATAACTTGTGGAACAGATTCATCCAATCACTTATTGATGGGAATTTTGTTTTCAGCTTTTACAGAGACTGTAGCGAGCTCAATAAGAGGCTCAAAAAAGTGTCAAACACATCCTCAGAAAAGGAACTTGCTGTGTGTTGAATATTCATAATCAAAACTCCTAGTTAGGGACGAGATATTAGATAATTCTAAGGAACTAAATGTTAAAATAGAATAAAAATACATTTAAAAAACACAAAAGAATTTCAGTAGAAGATTAAACAGAACAGTTTTTAACTGTTTTTTTTTTTTAAAGACTCTAAAGAGTCTGGTGGTGTAGGCTGAAAAGCTCCGTCTTTCCTTCCAGTATTCAACTGGTATTCAACTGGAGGGAAAGACGGACAACTAATAGATTTTTTGGGAGCGAAGAAAGCGAGCAGCAGTGTGTTTAACAAGAAGCTGAGATAAGTAGCCTGGAGTCTGTCCAGTCTTTGTATAGAAGTGTTGAGAATTTTAAAATGAATTCTAAAATCAACTGGGAGCCGATGTAATGAGAAGAAAGTATCAATTGTGAGCTTGCTTACTAGAGTATATGAGTATAGTAGGCTAGACCAGCGGTCCCCAACCCCCGGGCCTCAGACCGGTACCGATCCGTGAGTCGTTTGGTACCGGGCCGCGAGAGTTGAGGCTCAGGTGTGAAATGTATGGTTTTCAGGGTTTTTATCGGTTTTCAGCGTTATTTTGTTATCGTTTTTATCGTTTACTTGGTTTTCCTTGGTCTTTTCACGTGTGTTATGAATAAATCTTCTTTTTTTCGGTACTGGTACTAGTTTTATTTTGTTGTATTTATCCGCGACACCTTAAAGGCCGGTCCATGAAAATAATGTTGGGCATAAACCGGTGCGTGGTGCAAAAAAGGTTGGGGGCCGCTGGGCTAGACTATAAAAATATAATATTTTAAAGGGTGTCTGAACTCTTGCCTTTAAAAAAAAATCGCACACGTTGAAAATAGAGTGTATTTATAAAGTCTCCCACTCTGCGCTCTCTCGGCAGGACATATCAAATGGCTGTAGCAGCACACACTTCCTCCAGAAAGGTTTGACTTCATCTTCCAGTTTATTCGATCTCTTTCACAAAGAAATGCCAGAGAGTGGAGAAGGAAATGCTCGTGTGAAGTGTTCTCGAATGGCGCCCCGACTCATCGACTCTTTCATAACCAGAGAAATAATCACTGCGCTCACACAAAGCTCAGATTCATTTTAATAAGCTTTTGTCATGTGTGTCACAATCATGCACACATGCTGATATTCTAATATTCAAATGCTGTAGTACAGGGAAGAGAGAAATCAGGAGGGGGTGGGGGACGTAAGCCTGATGTGAAGCTGCCGCTGATCACAGGTATAGTGAAGCTTACGAGTACGCACAGTCCATTTTTCATGAGAATTATCTGCCTCATTTCACACAGTCATCATAACACCGCTCCTAACCTCAGCCATTAGTGGGAAGAAGTGAAGAAAAAGAAAACCACCTCCTCCGACAACATCTGCAGGGGAACCGTAGCACTTCAAAAAGGCAATCACCCATTTGCAACTTATCTTCCTGATGAAGATGGTCTTGATCTGCATCAATGGCAAACAGGAGGAGGAGGAGGAGAAAGAATCTGGATGTGAGTGTAGCGGTGTGTATCCACGGCAACCAAATCTGACAAATCCACTCTCTCAGAGTTTGCTCTTGACTGTGGCCTCTGTGGGAGCAGACAGAGGGAGAGAGGAAATGGAAACATGTGAAACACGGTGGGGGGAACATTTTACCTTGGTCATGCAGCGGTTAAAAGCATTTTGGCTTCTGGAGTGTCTGGTTGCTTCAGATGGATCTGTTAGCGAGGATTAGTCACTCTCAGCCCAACATGGCTAAGGACGCACTCAAAACATGCAAACACACAATCATACACATCAGACAGACAGCCAGCGTAGGTAGTGCCAGGTGTTGGAGACACATAAGGTTTATAGTGGAGACTTGGAGGCCTGCCTGCAGCAGCTCTGTCACACAGACAGACAGTTCCGGTCCATCTAACAGCCAAGCACCACTACTGCTCGCTCACTGCTGCTACCAAATCTGCTGCACATCCATTAGAGGAGAAAGACGCCAGCAGCTCGCTCAGACTTTTTTTTTTTTTTTAAAGGGGCACACCTGGATTTTTTGGGGGGAAAATAACCTCTTCGGTGAGCTGACCCGGGGTGAAGATGTGAAAGTGCTGATTTCATGGTTCAGGCATCTGACCGGCTGTGCCGCAGTTTGAGACTTTAGCTTGCTGAGTGGAAGCTACTGCTACAAGAAATAGGAGGAAAAAACAGCCTCTAATGCTCTGAGCTGTACGCACTGATCATTCTTTAACACTCAGCCTGTAAAGCAATAACTACATATTTGTTGGCCAGTTTGGGTAGAGAAACAAGCTGTAAACAGCACAGTGATATAAATTGACCTCACAAGGTCATCAAAGTGAAAATGTAGGTGGGCAGATGTCAATTTGCAGAAAAAAAACTGGAAAATATAAATCGCATATTCAGTCTTTATCCATTTTTGTTCTTTCTTCTGGTACTTCTGCAGAATATTTAGCTACTCAGGGAGAAAATAGCTGGTGCATAGACTGCAAATAAAAATATTCACCACTACTTTGTGCAGTTTTCTTTTTAAACTCTGAGTTTCTGCTGCTGTCATGTTTTACATTTGAGCCACAAGCTGATGGTAGCGAACTTCATCAGAATGGTGCATCCAAACAAAGAGATACATGCTAAAAAAAAGTGCTAGCTTTGAAATAAAATACTTGGGCAGGCTATATTATTTGTCAGATAACTGCATTAAAATCCTCCAAAATAAAACAATTGGTTTAAAAGTGATCACTATAAGACAGTGCCTTCAGCCACTTTTGTTGCCACCTACTTGTTTCTCAAAGCTACAATGACCAAAAATCTTTTTGCTCCTTTTTTAGGCAGAACATTTTTTATTTATTTTATTTTTTTTTTAAACAGGAGTCGATGAGAACTGACTCATTTTTGGAACTGGCCTGAAGTGAACTGGAGTTTCTGCCTTGATTTGTTGTGGCTGATGACTAAACGTCTCTCTAAACATATCCACAAACTGATGACAACCTGGATTTAGACATAAAAATACATTTTCCTTCCGGCCAAACAGAAATAAAGGGCTGCTGTGATTTTACCTTGTAGCTTATTTTTCTACATAGTATAGGTAGCTGAGGCGCAAGGTCGGTGCTTTTTGCTCAGTACTCTGACTACCGTTCACTGCCTGTTATCTAGTCTTGTGGTTTTACTTTTAAAGACAATGTATAACAGCTTTTTAGCAAACGTTACTCGAACAAGAATAAATAGTTTGTTTATTGGTTACCATTTTCAGCAGTGGATAAATACACCGATGATGCTCTACTGGGTATTAGTCAGCGTAAGGGCGTATGTGGGATTCTCTCAAAATAAACTCACACCTGCGCATTAAATTGTGTTTTAGCAGGAAGTATCCACTTCTGCTTCTGCTTCCCCTTTTATCTGCAAATACATTGTTTTTTGTATATTTTGTATCTACATTCCCCGGACACTTTATTAGGTATACCTGTTTAACTGAGTGTTGACATAAATAGATAGTTAGCTGATCATATGGCAGCAACTCAGTGCAGTTGGGCATGTAGAGACCCTGCTAAGGTCAAACTGAGCATTAGAATGAGGAAGGAAGAAAAGGTGATTCAAGTCACTGAGCGTAGCAGGGTTTTGGGGTTGGTCTGAGTATTTTAGAAACTGTTGATCTGCTGGGATTTTCCCACACAACCATCTCTAGTGTTCAAAGAGAGGGGTTTGAAATTAAGATAATATCCAGTGAGCAGCAGTTCTCTGGCAGAAAATGTCTTGTTAATACCAGATGTCAGAGGAGAATAATAACCACTTGTTACAACCAAGGCATGTGGAAGAGCATCTCTGAACTGATAATGGATGCGCTACAGCAGCAGAAGACCACACCGGGTGCCACTCCTGTCAAATAGGAACAGGAAACCGATGCTACAATTCACATGAGCTCACTGGAATTTGTCATGCTTGATGATTCTTGATTTCTTCTGTAAAATTTACATGGTAGACTCAAAAACAACATTAAATCGTGTATCCATCCTGGCTTCCAGGCTGTTGTTGGTGGTGTAAAGGTGTGCTGGGGCCCTTAGTATAGAATGAGTGCCATTCAAATATCACAGTCTGCCCAAGCATTGCTCCCTGATCCCTGACTCCTGCAGTCAAAATGCTACAGTATCGTTGGCAAGATACGAAGCCCACAGTTGCTTCAAGTGCATCAACTGAAGTGTGAACATGTGTGAACAACAGAAAGAGCTTAGGCTCAGATAAAATTGTTGTATGAATGTTTAGGTGAATGAGACTTAGACAGCAGCAGAAAGCACTTTGAGTTCATCTTCTGATGGCTACTTGCAGCAGGACGTGTCATGTCATAAAGCTGAAATCACCTCCAACAGGCTTCTTGAACATAGCAATGACTGTACTCAAATGGCCTCCACAGCCACCAGATATCAATCCAATACAGCACCATTAGGATGTTATGGAAAAGGAGATACGTGTCATCAATGTGCATCTAAGAAATCTGCAACAACTGCGTGACGTCATCTCTGAGCAGTGTTTCCAACACCTTGTTCACGCTATGCTCCCAAGAACGAAAGCAGGGGTTCAATCCAGTGCTTGCAACGGGTACCTAATGAAGTGGCCAGTGAATGCTTATAAAAAGCAGTTCATCACATTTTGAGATCTCATTATTTTAAGCAATTGATCCTCCTTGAACTGTAATAAATGAAAAATCCTTTCAGATTCGGGGGGCTAGTGGTCAAATCTGTTCACAAAAAAAGATTTAAAAAAAGATTAAGACTCTTGACCCAGTGTGTGAGTTCATATAAGAGATAAGGCTGCAGTGTTGATTGGATTCGGCTCTTAGGTTAAGCAGGCTTCTTCGCTTCTCTCTCCCACTCCTCTTTAACGCCTTGGCTGTCAGGCCATGTTTGTAAAAAGCAGAAAAACTCTCTCTGTGTCTACATTTGTTTCTTTATGTACAACTCTGCTGCTGCCAACACGTCTAAAAGCACCCAAAGGTGAGAAAACAATGTTAAATGACATGCATGCTGTATGTTTCCTTGAACTGTTGAACTGCAGAATGCATATTAATGTTACAAAGGGTGATATATTCCAGCGCCAGCAGCATTTCTCTGCTTTGACTTTCCTGCGCTGAGACAATTTCATGGTCTCATTTTCATTTAAAATTAAACACTGCAATCCTGCTCTGGTTCACTTTTTTCTGTGGTGATTAAGTTTGCCTGATTTCAGTTAATTTCACTAATATTTCTGCCATGCATGTCTATTATGAGCGTTAGAGTGACCCGGCTCCATCTGAAGCTCTCATTTAAATTTAAATTCTGTCAAACCCAAAAGCATGGCTTCACTCGTACAAAAGACCCGCGGTTGATAATTTGTTGGATTTCTTTTCAGCAGCTTTGGTAGCACCTGCGTCCCAAGCCACATAACACCCATTAAAAATTACAAAACCAGAAAGCATACGACTGTTAAGACCTCTCTCTCAAAATGTTCCGAAGGCAAGAGGTGAGTTTGATTTATAGCAGCGGTAAAGCAAGACATTAGGGGTTAAGGCTGCAGTTGTAATACCGATGCTTAATTTGAATAATTGAGTGAATGACTGATCATGCTTAGGAGCCAGACTGCTTGGCAATATAACACCATAAATCACAAGTGTAATCAAAACAAATGGGTAAAGTCATCATGTCACAGCTAAAGCCAACATAACATTAAATACATTTTACTTATTTACAAAACTTCGTTTAACCAAATAGATCAATCTGTAGCGATGGCACAACACTTTCCTTTTAGTCTGTTTTGGAAAGCAGGTGAGGCATGACTCAAGAAGGCACCTTGGAGGCTTAAAAAGTGGTTGTTATTTTTCATTTAAATCAGACCCTTTTCACCACTGCAGGAAAAAAAAAACAAAAAACAAAGCCCATTTATTTTTTCCTCGCATCATTTCGAACACTAACTAGCTTGAGGCCAGCCGTTGTACTCAGGAATGCACAGAATGCCATTTTCATTTAACTGAGGTCTAAATATGAGCAATTTATTTGCAAAATGGGACGAGTGCCGGTTGAAGGAAATGTCAGAGTTTCCCCCGCCGTGACACGCAATTTACATTTTGCACTGGGGTTAAGACTGCGTGTCGACAAACAGACTGAATGCAGTTAATTCTGTCGATAGAAGAAACCACACATGTTGACGCACAACACCACGATGGTTACCTGAACAACGGGTCGCTGCCACAGGTCAGGCTGAAGTGGTGGACGAAGAAATGAAGGCAGGACAGAGAATGAAAAGACATGTTTGCATCAAATACAAAACAAAGAAGCTGCAGGACACACACACACACACACACACACAGACTGTCATTACTCTCAAGGTCCTTCCTGTTAAAAGGAAGCTCAACAGTGAGAACTTTTATAATAAAACAGCTCATGAGCGTAGAGATTGTGTGTAACGTTCATTCATACTTCAGGTGACTCGTGTGATCAGAAATGAAAGTACAACCTGCGTTTTCTAAACAACCTTTTCATAAAGTGCCACACTGACTATGCTTTTTAAAGGGCAAAAACTGAAAGCGGGCATCATCTTGGTTGCCTTGACAAAATGCCAGTGGGAGTTATCAATAGGCTTTTCTTTTTTATGAGTATCAGAAAAAAAGGCTCTGTGGGAAAGTGTTAATGCCACCATGTTTGGTTCAGCAAATCTCTACAAACTGACACCCTTTTTTTGTGATTTTTGAAACTTAAATGCAAAAGAAAGTAGCTCACCACAATAATGTTAGGTTATAAATCAAGACTGCATGACCAAAATCAAGTTCCTGTGTTTGAAAGTCCACTAGGAGTGACCTTTGAAATGTTTTTTCTGACTTGAGTGCTTTCTGTCATATTTCTGCTTCTAGAAGAAAATGCCTGGGTTTGCAGGTTGGTGAGGGTGGTCTCCGCCTCTGCGGCTACCCTCAGAAAAACCCGGAAACTATTCTAATGGTCAAACTGTGTCTTTATTGATATATAATACAGACACGGTTACCTGGTACCCATATATAATAAGGGTACCAGGGAGGTCGTCAAATGTTGTCTTTATGGGGGAAATGGTTAATGTGATGATGCTGAATGTCTTCAACAACTTATTCTTATTTAGCCACTTATTAACCACCCGCTTTCTCTAGCACACGTAAATCTTAAAATTTGCAAGTGGGGCATTTATTTTTTTGTTATTGAACAAATGATTACCATAATTTCTATCTAATGAAGGTCAGTTGGACCAAAACATTGTGATTTAATAAAAATAATGGTGAATAAGACAGAGTACAAGAAGTTATAATTGATCTCTTTAAACACTCTTACGCACCTGTTTATGAATTTTGAAACTACTATTGAACAAATCATAAAAATGTCCAAAGCGAGTGTTGACCACAGACTTTATGCTATGCATCTAAGATTCCATTCATGCAGGCCTAGGCAGTGGTTACTGATGACCTGGAAAACACATGTTGCTAGGATACAGTGTGTAATCCCAAGCGGTTAGCGGTTGGTGAAAATAGCTGCAAAGAGCTGCGCTAAATGCCTCTTTTTGATTGCTGTGGTTACTGGCGGGTGTGCATCAGCAATAGTTTGCATGGAAGATCTCCACTTGTCTGCAAACCCTCGCCAACTGCTCGCTGAGTGGTAGTGAAATTATAAAAAAAAGTGCGACACAAACCAAAAGTTAAAGCTGCACCGACTGAAACATGATGGTTCAACACTGAATCTGATTGTTATGATGTCAGACACACACACACACCTCCTCCCACCCGCTGATGTCCACTCAGCAAAACCCCTGAGTGACATAATATCAAATGTTTTATTAGTTAAATTGCATTAATATTTATAAACAGAAAAAACCACAAACCAATAAAAATGTACAAGTGCTATTAAACGCTGAGCCACTGACCCCGAGGGCTGTTAGACTGGACACTGAATCATCATTAATATTAATTAATGTCTACACAATCATAATGTCTGTTTTCAGCAGAACAAAAACTTGCCTCCAATTAACATCAGAAAGTCTTCCAAGAAGACAAAGGTACATTATTTATGCCTTAAGCTCGCATATATATCTTATTTTATTTGACTTTAGCCTTTGACTGTACTTGAGTTTATTTATACATTTTTGCAATTAAAAAAATGTTTTCTTTAAAAAATATAATTTCAATATGGCGTGTCATACAAACAAAGGGTTTAGTTGTTTTTTCCAGCGAGACAAAGACAAGCTGTCAGGAAAATAAATACTCAAGTAAAATACAGATACCTGAAAATTCTACTTAAGTACAGAACCAAAGCATTTGTATCGCAGTTCCTTTAAATTTCACTGCCACCAAGTCAGTGTTTTGACATCAACCACTCA